AAAACATTAACCGCTCTCGTGTTTCATTCAAGAGGTGGGGAAATGATTCTTGTTTGAACGTCGTGATGGACTTGAACCCTCATTCCTTTTTTTACGCCCTTTTTTTTTCGTCCGTTTTTGCTGGGAGTTTTTCGCTTTTGGTTATTTTATCCCCCTCCACTTGTTTCTTCTTCTTTTCCTTTTTTTCACTTTTTAGTATATTACAAAACTTGCATTGCGAAGGCGTTTTTTTCAATCTGATTCAATTCCAGCTTTTTTTTAATCGCTTGGGTGGGACGGACAACAGGCAAGCAAACAGGAGGTTGGAAGTGGTGTGGCGAAAGAATTGCAAAAACAAAAAAACGATCGATACATGGGGGAAGACAAGGGGGAAGATAAAAAAAAGTAGTTGCCCAAATTTTTTTTTATCTCTTTTTACAGCTTTTCCTTTCGAACGGAAGGCGGAGGGGGGGGGGGGGGGATAAAAGGTGGTGGGTGGGGTGAAAAGAGAGAGGACTGGATGACGAGACTGGGTTGGGACAGAGAGACTACTGAACTGAGTGACAGAGACAGAGACAGAGAGACAGAAAGGCGATTATATATATTTTCAAGCAAGCAGGCAAGCAAGGCAAGCAGAAATCATACATTAGTTATGTCTTTTTTTTTTTACATTCAAACCAATTGATTGCACGTGAACGACCCATCTTTGGCGATGTTTTTTTTTGCATTCATTCATTAATGATGTTCCTCCTTAAGTAGGTAGATATCTTAATCTCGACACACCACCACATAATTACAACCACCCAACATCGAACTGAGTACACACACATGTATGTACATATACCTCTCTCTCTCTCTCTCTCCATGCATATATTCACTAGACAATCAAAACAGAGGGGGGGAGAAAAAGGGGGAACCGGGTAAGACTATCAAGGATACATAGGTAATAATTTGGTGTGTTTTAAGAAAAAGAGAAAAAAAAAGGGGGGGGTGTATCTATATCCCTCACTCATTCCTTCCTTTCCTTTCCTCCATCCACCCATTGCCTCCCCACATGCTCATTCGTGTCGTCCAAAAACAATACCATCATCACAACCCAGGGAGCCCAATCCCGATCCCAACATCTGAATTCGGAAGAAAAAAAAAAGAATACCAAGAGAGAAGAAACGAAGGGAAGAATCACAAGCCCTCCCTCGTCCGCATAATGAACCGAGCCAGATCCTCATCGTAATCGTCAGAGTCACATTCGAACCTTGCTTCCGCCTCCGCCTGTACATCTGCCTCGGTCAGCAGTCTCGGTCCACCGCCCCGTTCAGAACTGGAATAGCTCGACACACCCTCGAGGTCATTTGCCCCGTCGTACTAAGACCCACCACTCAGCAAGTGCTCTATCGCACCTTGGACATTACCGCCGCTCCTCCGCAGCGCAGCGACGTTGCGCTCGAACTCGTAGAAGCCCATCTCGTTGAGCTGTCGGAGCTGCGACTCGTACACCTCTTCCGGCGGGCGGTTGTCTGGTGGAGGGGGTGTGCCGAAGCCGCTGCCAGGACCGAACAGCGCCGCGAAGGGGTTTGCGGCGGGCGGAGAGGTGGTGCCGCTTGCGTTGGTGGGTGGCTGGCCGAATGCGCCAAAGGGTGAGGCGCCGGCGTTGCCTCCTTGCATCGCGCTCATCATCTGCATGGCGTTGCGGAGGGCCTCGGGGTTCTGCATCAAGTTTCGTGTCATCTCAGCCATGGGATTGGATTGCTGGTCACCGCCCGTGGGTGGGGGGCCAAAGAGGTTAGCAAAAGGGTTGGGTGGAGGTGGTGATGTAGATGTGTTCTGTGTGCCGTCCGCACTTGGCGTTGATCCGGCATTCGCGCCTGTGGTGCCTGATGTGTTCTGGTTCGCAGGCGGAGGAGCAAAGGGGTTGGCTCCTCCTCCACCCAGAAGACTTGCGAATGGATTGGCACCGCCTGCTCCGCCACCAAAGAGACTTGCGAAAGGATCTTGCGGCTGCGTTGAACCTGTGGAGTTCTGTGTGTTGCTCTCGTTTCCGGGAGTGGTGTTTGTCGCACCGGGCATGGGGAAGCTCGAACCGCCGTTGTTTCCGCCCATGGCTCTTTGCATTTGCATCTGCATCCGCATCATCTCCGGGTTGAACATCATTCGACGCATCTCCGGGTTCCGCAGCATCTCTTGCGCCATGGGGTTGTTCCGGACCATGGGGCTGTTTTGCATCATTTCGATGACAGCTGGGTTGTTCATGGCCTCATTCATTTGCTGGAGGAAATTGGGGTCGTCCATCAGCTCGAGCAGCTGCTCCTGGTTGGGGGGTGGGCCCATCTATACACTGTTAGCTTCCAAGCCTTTCGGGCTCTACCAGCGAGGTAAACTCACGCCTCCGTCGGCACCGAACATATCCGCGCTGGGCAGGCCATGAAAGCCAGCATACCGCGCACCAGTCAATCCAGCTAGAGGGTTGTTCCCGGTGCCTGCGGCGATGTTTGTGGGCACTTGTGGTGTCGCCGCTGCACCTCCAGCTGTGCTCGTGCCCTGGTTTGCGGGGTTCTGCCGCGCATTGCTCGCCGCTCCCTTGACAAGATGTATGGTGTGGCCGTCCTTCATCTTGACGCCGCTGAGGGTGTCATGGTCTTTGAGCACTCGGCCAGAGTAGATTAACCGCTGGCGTTCGGTGGGAATGTCGGCGTATTCGGATGTTGAGAGCTTGGCTTTGAGGTCGGCGACGGTTGTGGAGGCGGGCAGGGTCAGCACATGCTTCTGGTCGTTTGCGGCTTTGATGTTGAAGGTTATCTGGGTGTCATCGGCAGCTCCGGCTGCGTCGTCGGCCATGGTGAGCAGAGTGGTGGGCGGATTGGCGGGCGAGGAGTGGTGCGCGGTGACGAGGCGAGAGCGAGGCCTATCTATGTCAATGCGGAGGGGCAGGCCAGTGTTTGACAAAGCGCCCAATTAATAAACAAGCGATCCGTGTGGAGGGTGATGCAGGAGGGGGTTGGTGTGTGATAAATGTCGGTGGGTGGGTAGTAGGGAGAAGGAAGAAGGAAGAGTCTTGGAAGCGTACTAGGTAAGGTAGGCTGGCCGGTCACTGCACGTACACAGTAGATGTTGTTGGAAGGCGGGAGAAGCTGAGGCTGAGGCTGAGGCTGCCTGGGCTGCCTGCACGTCACATGTGTGGCGGTGCAATGACATGACGCCACCATTCAGGGAACCGTAAGCGTGGTGTGGCAAGTGCAAGTGCAGCCTAGCCGTAAGTTATGCGGGGCGGACCTCGCTTGCTTTAGTTGGAGCCGAGGTAACTGACTTGCAGCTTAAAGCTACCTACTCCGACTTCACCACCATGCCTTACCATACCGCTCCATTCCAATTGATTCTCTTCTCTTGTTCGTTTAGTTGTTATTATATGCCAATCAAGTAGCCAATCCTCACCATGAAAGCCATACAAGTCTCCCAATACGTCAACGTAAGAGGACCCCTCAACAAACCACCCTTCATACCCCCAAAACTAACACCAACCCCAGGGTCCCGAAGACCTCAAAGTCGCAGACCTCCCCACACCGACCCCAAAACCCGATCAATATCTCATCGCCATCCACGCAGCCGCAACAAACTTCTTCGACCTGCTCCAAATCCGCGGGAAATACCAGCATCAGCCTCCGTTTCCTTGGGTCTCGGGATCCGAGTTCTCCGGCGTCGTCCTTAAAGCTCCCTCTTCCCTCCCGGGAGGTCGAACACCAAAGTTCAAAGTAGGAGATAGGGTGTTTGGAGGTGGACAGGGCGCATACTCGACGCACATTGCAATTGGCGAGGAGCAGCTACGGCCTGTACCGAAAGGATGGAGCTTCGTTGATGCGGCCGGGATCTACGTAACGGGTCCGACGAGCTATGCGGGGCTGGTTGTAAGAGCTGGAATTAAGGCGGGAGACTGGGTGCTGGTCCACGCTGCCGCTGGTGGTGTTGGCCTAGCCGCAGTGCAGATTGCAAAGGCATTCGGTGCCACGGTCGTAGCGACAGCAGGGACACAGCATAAACTGGACGTGGCACGCTCCTTCGGCGCGGATCACACCGTGAATTACCGCGAAGCAGATTGGGCAGCCCAGGTGAAGAAGCTCACGCCCAAGGGGCGCGGTGTAGACATCGTATACGATCCCGTGGGCATGGTCGCCGAGTCGATGAAGTGCACGGCGTGGAATGGAAGGATACTGGTCGTTGGGTTTGCGGCGGGCGCGATTGAAAAGGTTGCCATGAACCGCGTGCTGCTGAAGAATGTGAGCATCGTTGGACTGCACTGGGGTGCGTACGCGACCAACGAGCCCGAGATGCAGACTGTGGTGTGGGACGGCCTGTACAAGCTGTTCGACTCGGGAAAGTACAGGGGGATCGGGTATACCGATAAGGAATATGTTGGGCTCGAGAGCGTGGGAGAGGCGTTGAAGGCCCTGGGTGCGAGGGATACTTGGGGTAAAGTGGTTGTCAAGGTGCCTCAGGATGGGCAGAGTAAGATTTGAGTAGTTTGATGAATTTACAATGCCACATTACGGATGTCAATATCAAATAGTCTCGTGCGCTCGCTAGATGTGCCGTTTATTCTTAGGCATGTGTGTATCTGAAGAAACTAGGTTTCATAATCCCTATAGCGAAAAAAATAACCACGCTCGCGGAAGATATTGGAAGTCAGACTAAAACAGTTTATTTATACTCTCTACACGTAAGGAAGCTAGTACTCTTTAGAATAAATATTTAAACATGCGTATTATATATTTTTAAATAGTATAAGTATCAAAATAGTAAAAACACTATAGTATCTTAAAGATACACTGTATATTAGGCTATATTATCTGATTTTTCTTTTTTTACAACTTTTACTGTCCTGTAAGAGGTACATATATGTACATGCCTAGGTATGTAATGTCACCCTCGCCAGTTTCACGTAGTTTCTCCCCCCACGCTTCACGACTAAAAAAAAAGGTCCCACCACAACACCTAGAGGCCTACAAAATAGCAAAAAAGAATGCTTTGAAGCTTGCTCCGTGCCAGATTCGAACTGGCGGCCTTCGGATGGCTCTACTGCTGTTGAGTAGTCATATATAGATAATATATGAGACCGACGTGATAACCGACTACACCAACGAAGCGTGTTTGATGGATTGATGGGAATTTTTCTGTTTTTAATGTTTTATGTAGTAAAAGAGAGCGCCCTCGACGGGGTTCGTGATGACAACATGTGGAGTGGGGAAGCAACAAAACAAGCGGGGCCGGCTAGAAGGTAAAGCATGTCATTGGGAGAGATTTAGTACTGCACACGCTTACATATCTATACAGGGATTTTATTTGCAGGGGATTCGGGTGGCACACGGATGTTGACTGTGATATACAGATGTACATACATGGAGGGTTGCGCGAAAGATCACAAAAAAAAAAAAAAAAAAGGGTTAGTTTTCCTGCCGTCCCTTATGATGCACCGTACTCATGCTCACCACACACGTATTTTTGTTCAGGTAGGGATACTCCAAAAAAACAAAAATCAATCATGCTCACAAACAACACCGACAGCATATTGATATCAATGCACCGCAGCAACACGTCGAGGCCCCTTGATGGCCGCTACATACATAGGTACGGAGTGTACATAAGCAAGCGCGATATGTAGCAATACGAGAGATAAAAAGTACTTCAGAATATGATTCTTGTTCGTTGTGCGCATCTGCATGAAATTCCGCCTAATCATATCGTGTGCTTGTTTGATCACAAGTAGCACGGGACAAAAAAAAAGCCCAATACCGACTTGGGTAAAACCTCAACCCAGGACACCGTTATTCAAGAAAATGCACGTGGTATTGCCGCCTAGGAGAGGTGAGAGGTGGTCGTCGCTGGGTTGGGAAGGAACGAACCTTGGAAAGAGGCGGTTGGATGGATGGCAGGAGCGACGCAGGAGACGCGTCAAACCAGTCACGTCCTCTCTCACCCACTCCACTGCATTTTTTCAACCTTGCTCCCCTCACATACTCGTCTTGTACCCCTCACATACTCGTCTTGTACCCATCATCAACCTCTCTCCTTTGTGCCTTTCCTTCAATACGCGCCGTTAATTCACTTATACACTCCGGCAACGTGGCAGAAACCTCACTTGAGGAGCTTCTGTTCAATACATCGAGACGTCCGAACCGTACCGTTCTCTGGAAAAGCCCTCAGAGGCCCGTTTTGTGTCGATTCTCACTTGGTGGGCGTGTATTTAACATAGAAGAGCCGGCTCCATCGATTCAGATTAACAATACCGTAGCGGAGGCTGGACTTGCTGCCGGCATTATGAAGCGTATCCGGGGCCATGATCTTCGACGAGGAACAGCCCGCGATGTTGCGCAATTTAATAAGGCGGCCAAAGGCACGGCACTTGCTACAAGCGCAGCTGCACTCGGTCACGGACACACGGGTTTTTCTCGCAACGGGACAGCCCATTATATCGGAGGGATGACGGACGACCTATGGTCGAAGCGTGTATCGTCGGCTTTCGTTGACCCAATAAGAAGGCTCGAGACGGCAGAAACTCCGTTCAATCCCGCGGTGATGACGGTTGCGGAGGTCGATGAGGCATGCCGCATCCAGGGCCTCAATGTGCATGATCAGAAGGCACGCAACCAGGTCCGAAAGAATGACCTCAAGAGAAAGCATACCGATTGGATCGAGGAGGAATCGCGGAAGATGAGGGCCGTGCTATCAGCCGATGAGCCCAGTGCAGACCAAGGTGAAAGCGACCAACCCGATGACAGCCACATTGAGAACATCGATCCGGCACTGCTGCAGTCTTCGCAGAACCTCATCAACATGGTCCAGGGCGGTGATCTACCCGCGGACGATGGTGCCATGTCGTCCACCGTCGAGGACCTTGTTTTCAGCTCTGTTGCTGACCAGGAGAAACCATCGACACCAAGTAGTGCGTCGGAACTACTATTCGCAAGCACAGCTTTTGCCTTTGTTGACAGGCTCTCAAACATAAACATGACCAACAATCAAGTGCTGGCTAGGGATGGGGTAAAAATATGAGGGAGCGCGAGAGAAGTCGAGGACATTGTTGCATGGCAATTCTCGGGAAGACGTCACTAGCTTCGTGTACCACTGCCGCAACCAGACTCACGGATGTTTGTACACGTCTGCAAACCGGAACCATGTCAGTCGACATGAGATAAGGTACCCGATCACCTCCAAAGCAAAAGGTGAGGAGCTGAAGAAGAAGAAGCCCGCCTCGCAGAAAGCCTTCCCTTGTGGGTTTTATGGGTGCGATTTCAGCTCGGTTTCGTTGAAAGGTTTAGACGAACATGCCCAGAAGAAGCATGGAACTTTTCGGGAGCAAACCTGTAAAGTCTCTGGATGTGGTGTCGTCCTTCGCACTTAGAAGGAGCGAGAGGAGCATCGGATTAAGGCCCATGGTACCTTTCCGGCAACAACCTGCAGGTACCCAGGTTGCAAATCTAAAACAGTGTTTCATCAGATCCGCTAATATCGTCAACACTTGGCTGCGGTTCACAAACTCCACGGAAAAGATACTGAACCATACGAACCAACTGAGGGCGGCCAGAAGTTTCAGCGCAAGGCGGTTCAGTTCATACCTTCCAAGTGCACCTTCAAGAGCTGCCATCTTGCTACGGTATTCCAGGCTCGGTCTTTGTACAAGGCCCATCTTCTGAAGAGCCAAAAAATGACCGAAGAGGAGGCAGAAGAGTTTCTGGGTTGATGATCAAGGCCTTCTATGGGCTGGGCCAGATGCTACCGAAACCCTACGTGGCATGGCGTCTGGACACACTATCAACGTACTGTGAATTCCATACTGCAGTCCTCCATTGATTCTGTACCCGCGATATAGGACTTCACCCCGGGTACAGAGTAATCTGTTACCAAGACGCCGCGTGAGGTAGCATTTTTAAACACTAATAATGTACTATAACACCCCCGCTTGGCTTTACCTAATTTTGTTCCCGCGATGTAGGACCATGGGAGGATTATTCTGCAATATGATATGCGGGTATGTCGTTGATGGGGTTATGTGGTTATGGAGGGTTGTTAGCTTCTGCACGGGATATATGAAAACGGCTGTTAATAGTCGGACAATATATATATCGTTTAACATTTCAAACAAGTGCATCATAAATATAGGGATGAATTGCATGTCTAACAAGACTAAGTTTTCAGAGGTTCCTTCCTTTGACTATCATGTACATATGTGAGTCCTCAAAGGCCTTGATTCCCTCCCATGTTCTCCCCATGCTTTTGCTCCCCTTACTTCTCGTATCGTTTGTTGCTCCTTAATTCTCGTCTACTTGCGGCCTACGCATTCAAGATGAAGTCAGTCGTCGTCTGGCGTTGTTCGTCGGGCTCTTTTGAAAAGAGGTGGAATTTGTAGCGGCATGTCATGGGGACGAACGATTGGTTTCTTGATCAGCCGGAAGATAGTGTCCGCTTTGATAACCGACCTCTCGGAAGATTAATAGTGGAAGTTAGACTTAAATACGTTAGATTTTTTTTAGTACTCTACGTAAGGAAGGAAGTACTCTTTTAGTAAACTTTTAAAAATATATAGTATATATTTTAGAATGCTAGAAGGATTTAAATAGTAGTAAAACTATAGTATCTAGAGGTTATATAGTATGTTAGGTTATGTTATCTTATTTTTCTTAAGTAGAACTTCCACTGTCTTCTAAGAGACCGACTACACCAACGAAGCGTCTGATTGATCTGATTGATTGATGGCTGGAATCGCCGCATAATTCTAACATACTGTATAGCGCAGGAAATGAGCGACAAGTGCGCTGTGGAAAAATGTGGCGCTAGCGTGTCGGTCACCTTTCGGCCGTGCGGGACTGGTGCATCAGATAGCCCATCAATCTCTCAGACCTCAAGCTCCCATTCCCCACATCCTTCTGTCGCAATAGCCGACTCGTATCGCGTCATGGCCTGATTTCGATTAACCTACGCTCATTACTCCCCACGAAACGAATTACCACAATGGCTTCACGGAGCTTCACGCGAGCTGCCACCGCTCTGCGGAGCTCTCGTCGGACCTCCGCGGTGTCGCCGGCATCGACTTTTATGCCATGCTCCGCGCAAACACAGAAGAGATGGAAGAGCGACGATGAGAACGACAAACCCACGCCTTTCAACTTCCAGTTGTATGAGAGCGTGGCGAAGCGTATAGAAAGGGAGAAGGCGGAGCAGCTACGCGAGCAGAACTACACAGCAAGGACGGCGAGAGGAAGGTTTTTCGCAACGGTCACGCGTAGGTGCTGCCCTCGATCGAGAGATGTATTGGCGGGAAGATCTTGAGCTGATGGAAAAGATAGTCGTCTTTATGGCCGGCGCTGCCGGAGTCTGGTACGGTCAAGCAATCCCCCAGCTACCACCTCCCATCTCGACACAGTCTCTCGATACACTCGTGCCACCCAAGCATAACATCTCCGAAGCCAATATGGAGGCCGCGTGGATTGATTTCAGGGATATCGTCGGCCGGGAAAACCTCTCGCTTGAGCGTTCGGATCTCGAGTCGCATGCTGGATCGTCGTGGTCATCACACCCTGCTGGACCTGGGGATGTGCCGTTTTGCATCATTAAGCCGGGAAGTACTGAAGAGGTCAGCGCGATCATGAAGGTTTGCCACCAGCGCAAGATTCCCGTCACACCATACAGTGGAGGCACAAGTTTGGAAGGCCATTTTGCGGCGACGCGAGGTGGTGTCTGTATTGATTTCTCTCGCATGGACAAGATCATCAAGCTACACAAGGAGGACTTGGACGTCGTGGTTCAGCCTGCTGTAGGATGGGAGTTTCTCAACGAAGAACTGGCCAAGGACAACCTTTTCTTCCCTCCCGACCCAGGACCGGGTGCTATGATTGGCGGCATGGTGGGCACGGGGTGTTCAGGCACAAACTCATACCGCTACGGCACGATGAAAGATTGGGTGTTGTCTCTCACAGTGGTTCTCGCCGACGGCACAATTATCAAGACAAGACAGCGACCGAGAAAATCCTCCGCTGGATACGACCTCACCCGCATGTTCATCGGCTCTGAAGGAACCCTCGGTCTCGTGACAGAAGCCACCCTCAAAGTCACAGTCAAGCCCCAGCACACCAGCGTTGCCGTATGCGCC